TGTATGTGGGTGGCGCCATAACCACCAAGCTATGGGTGCCGAGCCAACCTTTTTTTTTTTAAATCCTTCCATACATTTTCTCTATTCTCTCCTTTTGGAATTCCTGTTAGATAAATAATAAGCCTTACGGGTTACTCTCACATACCTGTTTTCCATCATCTTCCAGCTCTTTGTATTTAGGGATATTGCCACAGCTTTAACTTCCCCCTTGACATTAGTCTTCAGCCATGTCCATTTGTTACTTAACCCTTTAATGTTTTGTTCTAGTGTTCATATTTTTTGTTTCCAGTCACCCTTTCCCCAATTCCTTTGCCTGTTGTTAGCTTATGAGTGTTTCTGAGCATAGTAATTATAATTTAAAGATACTTTTTGCTAGGTGGCGCCTGTGGCTCAGTGAGTAGGGCATCACCCCCATATACCAAGGGTGGTAGGTTTGAACCCTGCCCCAGCCAAACTGCAACAAAAAATAGCTGGGTGTTGGTGCAGGCGCCTGTAGTACCAGCCTCTTGGGAGGCTGAAGCAAGAGAATCCCACCTAACCCCAGGAGTCTGAGGTTGCTATGAGCTGTGATATAACAGCACTCTAATGAGGGCAACAAAGTGAGACTCTGTCTCTAAAAAAAATAGTAATAATACTTTTTGCTCATGTTCCTTGTGCTTCCTTTTCTGTCTGCATGTTTGTTTGAGTGTTCTCTTTTTCTGTGCTATTGATTTTCCTCAGCATCGAGTGCACATTGGTCAAATGTTTATATTTCTAAACGAGGGAGCATGTTGTCATATTAACTAGTAGGGACAGTGGCCGTGTTAGGTGACTTTGCTGTCCTGCGAGTCTGTTCCAAAGAGGCCCTCCTGGGTGAGAGGGCTTTCTGCGGGCTCTCACTTGGTGGCCCTGCTGACCAGTAGGCTCCCTCCCGCTGAGCACCCCAGGGAGGGCACTGTGGCCTATTCCACGTGCCCTGTGCCCCCTCTGCGCTGGGTCCATTGTGCAGGTCTTTGGTCACCTCCGCCTCTGCAGTGTCTCCTCAAGGCTACAGCAGCCCCTCTGCAAACCTTCCTGGGCAGGTCTTCCCCGATAGACTTGAGGGGTGCGGGGAGCACACGTTTCCCTTGTGAACACTGGCTTCCAGCTGCGTCCTAGAGCAGGACCCCCATTCACAGAGGACACCCTGCACACAGGCAAAAGCCGCTTCATGCTCTTCTTGATCCCCACATTGCATCTCCATAAACAGAGCTGAGGAATTTCCCTCTGGCAGCCTACACCGTGTCCCTTTTTAACTTCAATTCTATACAATAAGTTTTACATTGGTGAGGTTTTATTGTATACTTGATGAAAATGAAATGCACTGTTTTGAGTGACTGGGCCAGGTCTCAGGTCGTCAGAGCAGTGGTTCAGTGCTACTCCCCTCAGACGTGACTTTTAGCTCACTGACTGCTTTCTTTTCCTCCAACAGAGAGATTATTGACCTTGCGAGCCAAGTGATGCCTCTGTTTGCTCCTTTTCATCTATTTGATGCACTTGCAGTGAGTATTTGGAGTGTTTTGACCCTAATATACATAGCACAATTTGGTTTTTGTGTTTCTAGCTTTTTAATTAAAAATCATCTGTCTGTGATTTCATTTTTGAAAAGAGAGAGCTCTTGCTTTCAGCAGTCTGAGCCCTTAGAGCAGGGATCCTCAAATTTTTTAAACAGGGACCAGTTCACTGTTCCTCAGCCATTGGAGGGCCGGACCGTGGGCCCCGGGATGAGTCAGCTGCTAAGCAGGACAGGCAGCGGTGGCAAAAACACCCGGCGGGCTGAATAAATGTCCACATGTGGCCTGCGGGCCGTAGTTTGAGGACCCCTACCTTAGAGGGAGGATGAGTTCCTTGAGAGTATAGCCTTTCCGGATGGAAAAGACCTGAATTTCCCACCTCCTCTCACTTTATCTGGTGCCGAAATGCAGTTATGTGTTGTCCTGGCCAAGTGGTGAGGTGGCCTCCCTGCGTCCTCATGCAGGTGGTGCTTCCTGTGAAGCCCCTGTCTAGGCCACTCTTTGGGTTTACAGGTGTTTGAAGACCCTTCTGCTCTACCTGAGAATCAGCCCAGTGGCCTATCCCATTGAGCAGTTACTCCGCATGACGGGATTTCTGGGTCATCTTGCTTTCTCCCAGGGAATTTCTTCCCCTTTGGCCCTAGTACCTAGAGGTATTTGCACCCCTGATTGAACACTGGCTGTGGTAAGAGTAGTGGAAGAGAAGCCCACACTCGCATTAATATTTTGAACTCTTCCCTGATAACATCAACGAACATAATGAAGCATCATTATGCTTTTACAAGGTATTCTTTAAATAGTCAAGATCAATAGAGATTTAATAACGTCACTGATAGGCTTCTGATGAAAGCTTCTGTGGTTTTCATTGCTGCTGTCAGCATAATTTTAGAAACAAAGTGTTCCCTCATCTCTTCCTTGAGATGCTGTGCCTGTTCTGAGGCAGAGCTGTTCGACCAGATCCAGGCCTGAGGGACAGTAAGGCAGCTCTGATGATGGCTGCGCCCCTACAATGTTGGTTTTGGTTTTCTTCTTCTTAGGGCACCTGTGGAGGAGTCCTGAGAGGCACAGGAAAGCAAAAGATCGGTGCCATCCTGAATGCCATTGGTTACTATGTGTTTGGTTTTCCCATTGGGATATCGCTGATGTTTGCTGCTAAACTTGGGATAATCGGTATGTGTTTGATTCCTCAGGGATTTGCCTCCAATCTCACTTGCGTTATTATTGAGGTAAAGTGCTTGAGAGGTAAAGCGATGGCCTAGAAAGTTGTCCCTGTGCAGTAGGAAGTAGCACTTCTTCCCCTGGTGTTTATTCAGCAGAGCTGTTCTCAACCTGTGGGTCGCGACCCTCAGGAACTGTATTAAAGGGCCACAGCCTTAGGAAGGTTGAGAACCACTGATTCAGGGCCTTCCCTATTCACACACACTGGACGCCTCGTAATGAACAGGACAAACGTGGTCCTGCACTCAGGGTAAGGACACCCACGTTAAGTAGTCCTGCTCCACAGCCGGCAGGAGCAAAGGAAACAAGAGGGTGCGGTGCGAGCCTGGGCTGAGGTGTGGGGAGCATCTATGCCCAACTGGCTTTACCAGAACAGCTCAGCACAGGTGGAATTACTGTGCTGTGGAATTACTTACTGAGAAGACTGAGCTTTCTCTACTGAGTGATCTTGGTGGCCTTCCTGAAAATCAGTTGGCCAGGCACGGTGGCTCACACCTGTAATCCTAGCACTCTGGGAGGCTGAGACAGGTGGAACACTTGACCTCAGGAGTTCAAGACCAACCTGAGCAAGATCAAGACCCCATCTCTGCTAAATAGAAAAAAATAGCCAGGCATTATGGCAGGCACCTGTAGACCCAGCTACTCAGGAGGCTGAGGCAAGAGAATCATTGAGCCCAAGAATTTGAGATTACTGTGAGCTATGACCTTACAGCACTCTACTGAGGGTGACAGAGTGAAACTCTGTCTCAAAAAAAAAAAAGAAAGAAAGAAAGAAAAGAAAAGAGGGTGGTGCCCGTAGCTCAGTGGGTAGGGTACTGGCCACATACACCAAGGCTGGCGGGTTTGAACCCATTCCAGGCCAGCTAAAACAATGACAACTGCAACAACAACAACTAAATATCTAGGTGTTGTGGCAGACACCTGTAGTCCCAGCTTCTTGGAAGGCTGAGGCAAGAGAATCACTTAAGCCCAAGAGTTTGAAGTTGCTGTGATGCCACAGCACTCTAGCTAAGATGACAGCTTGAGACTCTGTCTTTAAAAAAAAAAAAAAAAAAAAAAAAAAAAAAAA